CATATCATGTTGTGCCATGTAATGTAAATGGTGGCACTTCTGATACAGGTGACTTAAAAACTTCAGGTACGAGTTTACCTAAAAAAGTACGCAGAAGTTTGCGTTGGTTTTTGACATGATCATTGCTTTCATTCATTTACCGTTTCGCCGTATGTTTTTCTGTTATTGCCGTTCGTAATGTTAAGAAGATGTGCTTATCTAACATTGACTGTGAATCTTCTGATGAAATTCTGCAGCAGAGGTTGTTCGAATTAATATTTATAGTAGTAATTATTAACTAGTTAATTTTGAAGGCTAAACTCATTTGAAGTTTTTAAGCTGTAGCTAATTTGTTGGTTGGTGGTGAGAGACTGATCAAAGCTCTGGTATTAGAGATGTTGCTGAAATCGTTCGCTGCTATGACTATAGCATTACCATGGCAATGATGGCAGTGAAATACGCTAACAGTAAACGTTTTGCTATAAACGTTTGTTAGGCGGCCATAGCTACTGGTAAACAAATTCACCGACGTTCAAACAATGGAACGGAATATGTGATTTTTTATTTGTTAATGCGCATAATTGTTAATCGCTGCTTATTTTGTACGAAACAGTTTCTTGGAAATTTTGTCTCAATATGCACATTTTTGGTTAATTTTTAGTGTGTTTCTGGGATTTTCAACAGACGGATGTCTTCTGTTGTCATACAAAGAGACGTATTCAGAGGCAAATCCTCATCGGCTATGGAATCAAACCCCCGGCTTCGTGTATGATTTGAATGTATGGAGCTTCCATCCGCGTAGACGTCTGCACAAAGTAATTTCTCTGCTATTTATTGACTTTAGCCGGATCTTTATTAGACCTGTTCAAGTCACTGAATCAGTTTTCTTTGCTGTCTTTGTGCATTCATCTCCTAAAGTTTAATTAAGGGTACCGTCGATATATTATAAAAACAGCATAAAACATGATTTATTCATACCTAACTCCAATAGTTTGGTCAATCAGATGATTAATCAGTACCACGATTTTGGCAAACGTCTCAAAGAGTTGCTTTCACGGTTTTTTTTTATCGTTTCGAACTAGAAGGTAAATTTTTGTTCCCTCGCTGTCGGCTAAGTAGGATTATCATCACAGGAAAGACAATGCTCATCCAATTAGCGCTGGTTTCTTGTTCTTTTCCATGATTAATGTTGTCATAGTAATGCACGACTGATGTGTTCTAGAACTGCCTGTTTAGCCATTGGCTTTCCTTGATGACGTCAGTGCAGTCTGATCATCAGGGGAGATCGTTCTTCCTTGTTGCGTACTGCACAATCCCAGACGTGTTTTCGAATTGTTGCTTCATTTTTCTCTGTGTGAGGCCTTGCTTTCTTCCTAGGTGGTTCGTTACCATGTGTCGCTCGCTCTCTTCTGCGATTAATCTTCTTCAGCTTAATAAGTGAGTCTTCTTTGAGAGTGTTCCCTGTTAATCTAATCTAATATTTACCGCAGTTACATTGTTATTTGTAAACCCAGCCTAGAGAGTTGCTATTATCAGAATTACTTGGTAGCCCATTAAGTTTATTAGAGCATTTACATATAAAGTTAGTATGATATTTAGTCTTAAGTAATGTTTGTTATTTTCCATTAACGTTCTTCTGATGAAGTAGAATTAAGGAAGGTTTATTATTTAGAACATTATTTTCGACATTGTCGATGTTACAAGTTAATTTTAAGTTAACTTATTCTATGATTAACAAACCAAATTGAATAATTATTTATTACTAAATGCCAATTAAAAGTTTTATTAGTTCTTTAACGAATTCATTACTGCATAGCGTCATAGCCCTGTCGATTAAAGCAGTAACTACTGATTTGTTTATTTAAATGATGGGAGATAAAATTTAGGTATTTATCAGTGTTAGTAGGTTTATAATAAACTTTAGTCTTATAGCAATTACCATAGTTAATTATGAAGGCATCAAGAAACGATAGACTGCAATTATTTCTCGTTCTGTAGTTAACTTGGTATTTTGAGGTAACAGGCCCCTGTGAAGGTCGAGTACTTTGTTTCCATCACCTCTGGAGAAGATGGTGAGAATATCGTCAAGGAAGGAAGAAGTGGGTTGCCATTTATGTTGCTTCAGTTTGTTGGAAGAACCCACCATTGAAAGAAATAATCCCCTTGTATCGTGCAGAAAGTTATTATTTTATGGCACAATTAGCTGAGAGATTAGTACGCTATTTAAGTAAATTATTTTGTTGAAGGAGTTTACTGATTATTTTAATAGTGACTTCAGCAGGAATATAGTTAAATAAGTCTTGATTGTCTTAATAAGACATACTGCATCCCCTCTTTGGTCGTAATCTATTTTACTTCCTTGCAAAACTTGTGTGAGATTTTGTACATAATTGTTTTTTTTAAATGTAAGTGACTGAGTATTTTCGCAGTCAGTTTCGAAACCTCTGCGAAAAAGCAATTCAAAGTAGGGACTGTAGGTCTGAAGAGAACATTAGGTTTTTGCATTTAGATAAAGAGTAAGAGTATGGTGCCAGGGTGTTATACTTTAATTTAATAGCAGATTCGATGATTTTGAAGAATTTTGGATCTGGGTGGACATGATGGGTAATACCCTGTAAAAGTGCTCGAAGAATAAGGCACTAAATAGGATAGGTACCAGGGTAATTAGAATGCCGTTATATTTACTCTCATGATCTAATAAATCTACCCATAAGCACATTGATTTGCTTCCATACTTATAATTATGTTTTTAAAAGATCTGATGGCTTTAAATTCTGTTACGGATTGGTTCGCTTTAAGCAGTTCAGTTAAAGTTGTAAGAGGCTTAATATTTTCTATTTAAGGTTTTATTAACTTGTTATCAGGGGACCTGAATTTAAATATTAGATATGGTTTAAAGTGAGAGGAAAAATTTATTAGTAGCACTAAAGTTTGATTTTATTTATAACATCTGATCCTAGCGCCGATTGGATGAACCTTGTTGTCCCTGTAGCCAAGATCTAACTTAACCATTAGACCATTAGTATGGAGCAAAACCTTGCCTTCTGGCATTGATAGTACTGCTGCAGACGAGCAGGAGGACCTCTGAAGGTCATCCACCTCTTTGCCTTGAAGAAGTGGCCCGCCCTTAAAACAGTACTGTTTTCCGTATGACCACCAACGCACGAACGAAACTCTCAGTCATTAGATGATATCGTGTTATATCATTTTCTGATAGCTGATTTTTAGATGTTTTCTCTGCGGTTGTTTGGAACGAGACCAGCTTACCAACGGTTGACGATTCATATCTATGAGCTGCCACTTACTCCCTACGCTTTCTTTTTTTGGGGCGAAGAAGACCATCCGTAATGACAAAAGTTAACAATTGTTATTCTCACATATTTGCCTTGTTTTTAGTGTTCCCCCTGACGGGAGATTTCAACTTGATCAGAGCGAATCGTTCGTTCAGTATTTTACGCTGCTGCGATTTGACGCTGACTACCCTCTCCAGTGCAAGGTGCGTAAGTAACAGCGTTGTCCGTGAATGCTATTTAATTTTCATAGAGACGGACTGCCACCAATCACGTCGATTTTTTTACTCATTTTGCCTTTCCCTCCAACGACCCGTTTTACAAACCGGATTTTGTGGTATGTGATTCATATGGTTTGTTGTGCTGCATCGATGCGGTTGTGGCTGTGCCGCTTGATGGTCCAAGCGTGTGCCCAGAAGATCTATCGCGAGGTATGGTTTTAACGATTGGAATTATGATGTTGGTCATATAGTTAAGTTTTCGTATAAGTTCTTCTTGAATTAATATCTTGGCATTTTTTTAATCATTGTTCTTAGGCAGGCGGAAGAGAATGGAAAGCTTATTATAAATGGTTTGCTCATGAGACACTAGGAGTAGAAATGTGCTTGTTTGTGTTGAATGTTCTTATTGCTTTTGCACCCTGGATAGTTTCTGATGCATATACACTGTAATGAGTCCATTCCATGTTGACAACAGTAGCTCATGCTCAGTCTTCAGTAACCTTGACTGAGTGATGTAGCATGCGAGAGTGAGTAATGATGGCGAGTGTAATGAGTGATGATGACGTTTTTAATTTTCCGAAGTCTCAGTTCTCGTTTAACCGAGTAATGATGGACAATTTTTTAGGTACCGTATTCATGGAATATATCTCTGAGCGGCTTCGAAAAACTTCTGATCAAGCTTCGGTAGTCGTCTTTCGCCTGCCCTGACTTGGCTTAAAAGTTTTTTTTCTTTAGCCATCTTTCTGTGTTTTTGAAGCGTTCATTTTCGACAGTGAAATTCTTCTTCAGCGTTGGTGCATCGACGCATGCGCCAGTTACGGTCTTTCGCTTAGTAGTTTGTATTATTATGACTCGTGCCACTTTGGGGTGAGGTGATATTTTTGTCTATCGTTCTTCATTTGCTGAACTGTACTACTATAATTTTAGGGTCTACAAACCTCTGCAGTATTTTTCCTTTTCTTCGCGACAATGGAAATCGACCAATACGAAGATGATAGTGCAGATGTTTTCTTCACTGCTAAACTGAATCTTGATACAAGTAATTTTTGGATATTTGCTTTAACGGAGTCACGAAAGGCAGCTACCTCTAAACTGAAATACAGAATTGCGTAGAGGAGTGTAAAATAAAAAAAATGTTAAGACAGCATCGCAATTGTCACTTTCGGTTTGAGGCAGTAGCACAGTCCTTACAACCTGCATGATACTTTTCATTTAAAAGGAAATAAGAAATGGAACAAGAACGAAAACAAAAGAGGGAGTACTAAGTAGTTAGAAGAAAACGATAAACATGACCAGTAGCAGAAATGCAAGAACGAAAGAAGGAAGAAAATGCGAAACAGTTGCCCTTTCAATTCAAGCATACCAAGGCTCGATCTTGTGTACCTTTCAGGATCTATAAGGATACGTATTATAGATTACAGTAGCAGCCTGTGGTAGAGTTTAGTAAATTCAAATACTGTCACATTTTCAGTCCATTAAAGAGCAGCAGTGATAAGTATCATAAAAAGGATGAATGCTACTATTAAGAATTTTTTTAGCAGTGCGACTGCCATCAGGAATCAGGAACATCTGTCTGTTACGTTGCAAATCAAGTCGTTTAAATTCAGGCCACGTACTTTCGAACCTCTCGTGGAAACTGGAGGACTGTTTTAAATCTTTAAGATCGCATACAAAATTGCATTAAAGAGAGTAGGCCATGCATATCTGTGCAGCAGGTAAAACTCTTGGAAACATCTGTGTTGTCATAACATGACTTGGGAACGTAAGAGTCTTTGTCCCATAACAGTGAAGGAGGTTATGCAACATTTTTCTTAGTAGTTTAGTGTCCTCATTGCATTGTGAGATATAAAGTTCCAGGTATTTGATGTATGAGTCGAACTCTCACTCGTGAGAATTTGGTTTCTTTGGAGTTTCTCAGTATTGAAATGCACTTGGTAATCTGACGTGCTGATAGTGAGCTCATCTGAAAAGCTATCAGTTGTGTTAGTAACTTCCAATACTGGCAGTTCTCAAGTAATTCAGCACTTTAAATCTTGTACGATTTTAAAGTCGGTATCCTGGAACATCGTTTAAAGAGATTGTATTCCAAAATTTTTTAAGGCTCATGGCGATACCGTGCCGTAGATGACTTCAAGGTGATAGGTTTTCTGATTCCATGATTGGCAACTCGGAAAAACAAGATAAAATGGTTTTATTTACAGCAATTCCAAAGTTTCAGCCGAATTACATCGGTCATTATCAGGGAATGAACATGAAACGACAAACTGCTGATTCAGGTGGTGATTGATCCGACTGCCTGAACGCTAGTTCGGTCGCTGATTAAGCCATGAATCTTGTTCCACACCGCGGAAATGTCATTGGAGCCAGAGCAGCCGTTGCAAGTTCTGTTTTTATCCGCAGCGATGTGTAGTAGCGACCCCTTGATTAATAACTTCAGCTTGTCCCGGTGTCGATCGACAATCTTTAAATCACTGTTGTTACAATCATGACCATTTTCCAGGGCGTGAGCAACATAGCCAGAGTGATCAGCATTACGGTACCTGATGGCTCTTCTATGCTGCGTCAATCTAATTTTTAACGCTCGAGAGGTTTTGCCAATATATATCCGGTCACAGCTGTTTCAAGCTGTCTGATAGACCATGTTTTTACTCTCCAAGCTGGGGTGAAGATCATGCTTTTTGTACAGTTGATTTCCTATAGTTTTGCTCCTGCAGGAAAATATACAACCGTAGGTTTTTAAATAACGTCTAATTTCTTTCAGGATGCCTGATATATGGTACTGAAATGGGGGAATCAAAAGAAAAGGCGTAACTTAACTTGGGGGCGTTTAAATACCAGGTCAATTAAACATATGGCGTTTTCCGTTTTTAAAGAAAGCCTATGAAAGGTGCTTGATTTTATCCCTGAAAAGTCGGTCATCACTACAATAGCTTAAAGCCCTATGACACATGCATTCCATAATATTGATGAAGCGGATTTGGAACTAGGATGAAGTGTTAAAATAATGATTAGAATGTTGTGATTTTCTATATACTGGGAAGGATAATATGTATAAGTGGTATTTCGTTTAATGAGTAGATTAATAAACGCCATTTGGATATTTTGTTCGTTCTATGAAGTGAATTTGATAATATTATTTGCTTGGTTATTTAAATATTTATGCAGTTGGTGAAGATGATTAGGATTGTTATGTAAAATGAAAAGTCATCTATATATCTTAAATACAGTGCCGGTTTGAGGTAAGGCGAACAGAGAGAAAAGGCATTGGGCGCCAGATGGTTCATGTAAATTTCGTCTAAGGCTACACTAACAGGAGAACCCATCGGGATACCACGCCGCTGTCTGTACATTACATTATCAAATTTAAAATAGAGATTGCAGGTTATTAAATTAATTTAATAAACAATGTCTTATGGGCACAGGTTACTCAGTGCCAGATTTGCATTCTTCCACGTGGCTCTGTTCTTGGTTACGACATCTAAAACCATACCCGGCATTCAGTGACGATATTATCGGAACAGCGGAATAGCTACGACCTTTTAGAAGCCACTTTAGCAACGAAGAACGATAATCCTGGACCTTTACATATGGTATCTTTGGACGTCGTGGCGACCTATCACCTTTATTCCGAAATTATTCATGGCTATGAATCATTATCAACTATTTATCTTTATAAAATTTCTATTTGTTCAGACTTCGGACAAAAAGATAGGAAGGTTTTGAAACGTTTGAAGTTCTACACTCATCGCCATTCACTCTGTCGTAACATTCGCAAACAATATATAGTGACTGTGTGGCTCGTAATAAGTAGCCATCTATCCCATATTTGTGCAGACACCGCCATAGGTCGTTGCGTTGAATCCTCTTAAGGCGTTTTTGAGGTTTACATGGCCTGTGTGAGCCGGATGTGCGAATTCCGATGATTGCTCAACAGCCCAGAGTTAAGCGAGGATCTTGTCACAGATACTGCGGCTGGTTGTTTCTGCCGCAAGGTGTTCACATGTTACTCCATCGTTTACATCTGTGGGTGCCAACAACGAGGTGATGATCGGTTGACAGCTTTGCGCCTCTTAACGAGAGTATCCATTACAGAGCGTCTTAGGTCAGATGATACGATTGTCAAATCGACCATCGACTTCTGCACAAGCTTCCCAGTACCTGGTATACTGGTACGTTCTTCGATGCTCGAAAAGGTGTTCATGCCGTTATTGTTGAGGTCGTTAAGGTCGTTGATTTTAATCCCTTCTTTCCATTTTTCAGTGTCTGTTCTGACGTATGCTTTGAAATTGCCCATTAGAATGATGAAATTTAGTACTCGGACTTCATGCAGAGCACGTTCTACTTTCTACACGAAAGGAATCATATTTTTCTTCTGAATTAGATTCATAAACTTGTAGCAAGGTCAGACGTTTTGCTTGATTCAGTTTCAGACAGAAGGGCAGTTTCATCGTGCGGTGTCTGTTTCCTCCGTTCAGGACCCTTAGCGACTCCGCGGCTGACTGATATGTTCATCATCTTTTCGACAGCCGTGGTAGTGCTGCTACGCTCCCATCTGCCAGAAAGTATGAAGCATGTT